TCTCGCGACACTGCTCCCCGCGGGGGCCTCGATCTCGCGACACTGCTCCCCGCCAGGGCCGCGGCACGCTTTGTGTCTCCTTCCCCCGCCAGCGTCATCCTCTGTGAGCCCCTCATCCTCACACATACACCAACAATACATATTTTGGAGAAAAACATACAGTCCAGGGGTGTTCATTACAGAAACTAGAATGGTTGCCTGACTGAAGCAGGCAGGGCATAGGACAGCTCAGGAATTCCAGGGCAGAGTGGAACACAGCCAGAAAGAAGCCCTCAGAGTCCAGCGAGGAAGATACCCGCAGCTACCCCCACTCTGCACGGGAGGTCCCCGCTGGGGGGAGGCGGGAAGGGGCAGCACTGCCTGCCACCCAAGTTCTGCCCCTCACTACTGTAGATTCTAATTCGAGGGGCACAGATTCTCTTCTTGAAAATACTGTGTATATTAGAACATATAACTTCCTTTTCAGGGAAGAGTACAACACAGTTAAGATGACCTCTGTATCACCTTGTATGCGCATCCCACTGTAACACTGTTTAATTCACACTGGGAAGAGGCTAGAAAAGCCAAGAAATTAATTTTACCTTCAAAGCCTTCATTTATGACCTCATGGGCACCTGCATCACCTCTGTACTGAGAAATGTCATTTAGGGTAAAATTTCGGAACAGCTGCAGCTGGGTTTGGATCTTACGGAAAGCAGGCCGTTGGTCCGGGTCCTGAGCCCAGCACTGAGCCATTAAATTCCACCTGGATGAAGACAGAAAAGAGAATGACAGCTGGATACAATGACCAATAACTCGGGTGAGGTCATTTTAGAAATGGAACTGGAGTTATTATCTATTTTGCAAAATTCATATACACAAAAGGAACAAATGCCTTCTTCATTTGAGTTGCAGCGTTACTCCCCTTCATAGGTAATGCCTTTCTTTGGAAAAGCTGACATATCAACAGTTTTTAATCTACGTAAATGGATAGTTGGAAATTCCTACCCCGCACATCATGAAAGCTATAAACACTGTTGAAGAAGCAGACTTAAGACCTTACATACAAAGACAGCTGTGACTTGAAGACATGAAGACATACATTTTAAATACAGATGAAGAGGAAGGGAGAGATATAACAAAAGCTGGGACTGGCAGGATAGCTCAGCTGGCTAAAACACCTGCTGGGGCAAACTCAGGCGCAGGGGACCACGGTTCGATCCCCAGCACCACATGCTGAACCAGACCCGCCCTTAAGGTGGGCCTAACCAGCCATAAAACAAAAACAAACAGAAGCTAAGAGTTGCTCCATGCGGCCCTTTGCGGCAGCACCAAAAGCAGAACTGAGCCAGAACTCTCCCTCCTCATCCTGAGGGTGACGCTAGCCCGTGCCTGTGTCCACAGCTGCTAGGCTGACCTCCCTTCTCCTGCAGGGTTGTCTGACAAACGTCCCTGCCGCACCCCTCACTGGGCAGCACTCGGGGGCAGCGCAGACAGAGTGCTTCCTGGCCCTGCAGCGAGTGGTGCCAGGGACGCTCGCTCAGCTCTCCTGCCCTGTGGGCTATAGTCAGTTCTTGTCCAGAGCTCCCACCTCGTGGAAGAGCGGGCGTGATTTTGTTCTGTGCAGCGCAGCTTAGAACCCAGCCCGGGCTCGTGCTCTAAGCAGTCTCTCTGGCAAGGGTCGTGCTGCTCTGGCTGCTAACTAGTGTCTTATTTCTAGGCCACCCCTGCTCCCTCTGCCTCCTTTCCAAGGTGGTGCAAGAACACTGGCCGCAGGAGGCAGTGCCAGCAGCACAGGCACAGAGGCTCTGAGCCCACCGTGCCTTGGAGCTTGGTGACCTGAGGCTGGTCCCCTCGAGCTGCCCTCAGTGCCCAGGAGCTCTCACTGCTCCTCTGCCCTTCCCCCTCATGGTCCTCCCTGGTGTCTCTCCAGTGGAGCTTCTCTGCAGCTCTACCATGCCCTAAGCATACTGCAGACCGAGGCCCGCCAAGCCGATCTCTGTTGCAATCCACAAGATGTTTCCTTCAGAATCTCCAGCTCTTAACAAAACGTTCACACCTCCCGGGAGCTCAGAGGAAGTCTGGCAGCGTAGGCCAGGCCTTCTCCATCTGGGCACGCAATCCAGCCCCTTAACAATGCCAAGGGTCCTCATGTCGGGGCGGGATCCCCTGCTCAGCGACCTCCCAGCCATCCTCCTGAGCTGGAAGCCAGGGGCACGGCCCATGGCCTCCGTGGTTGCCCACCTGCACTACCTGGAGCCTGCCAGGAGGCTGAGGACTCAGGCACCAACATCGCACTCTGCCACTCCTGCCTACATGACTCTTTGCTGTGCTTTCCTGGAGCTTTGGCTTAGACTGTCTGTATACAAAATTGTGTTCTTTGCTGACTCAACCACAGGAACAGCCCTTTAACACTGGCAAGGAGCTGAAGGCTTCCAGACAGCAAGTCTGTCTTCAGGTCTACTAACTTACTAAAATGGCCAGGGATTGGCTTTATTTTCTGGAGCTATGGAACACACTGGGGGCCAGAGAAAGGAACTGATAAATAAACACAAATGCAAATGTTTAAGAATATTAGCACTACTGTGTCAACAGAAAATACCTAATTCAAGTTACATTAAGCATTTTTTTTAATGCTAAAGAGAATAACCTTGAGTTCAGAGCCATAGAACACTTTAGGAAGCTGCTTGCAGAGGTCCTTGTGAGCAGGTGACACTTAAACCCAAGAGTGTCATAGGAAGGTAAGATGCCCGTCACGGGGATGGGTGTGGGCAGAAGGTAGGGAGCTCCCTGGCAGGGGGAGAAGCACGTGTGAAGTCCTAAATTTGCAAAAGCCTTGACACATCTTAGTATCTGAGATGAAGCCAGAAGGTCAGTCCTTGAGGGAGAGAATGAGATGGCTCAGAAGAGGAAGGCAAGCACACACAGGTCACACGGACCAGGGCAGCAGCAGGGCTCTCGGATGCTGCCCTGGGGAGCTGTGGAAGGTCCCAAGCTCCTTGCAGTCCTAGAGGATTGCTACTGCTGACAGCTGGACGGTGGCCACGAGGAGCCAGCTGTGAGCCCTGAGGGAAGCCCAGCTGAGATGCGACGCTGGACTGGACTCAGTGCTGCAGAGCGGGAGCACGGCTGCGCACAAGCACGGGATGGTGACACAGAAGCCAGCCTGCATGCCGAACTTAAAAGGCCTAACATCTACGTTAGGAACCACAGTGCAACCTCCCATCTCCCATGTGGTATAAAACTCTACTTCTGTTTATTCCGTTCTTTGACCAGCACCTCAGGGTAAGCCCAGAAAACTGAATGTTGGGCTATATTTATCTGATGGCTTTCTGTGTTACAAGGAACTGACAGTCTCAGCAGAATGCCAAACTTGGCTCTACTTTTAAAATGTTCAAATCATAGCTGAGAAATAAAGAATAACCTAATCTATTATGTATTTCCCTATAACCTGTGTTTAGAAACAAAGACAGCATACAGATTAATGAAAGGGCATTAGACTCTGAGATAAGATATTGCAACCGGCACCATGTCACAGAACTTAAACCAACAGTTAAACCCAAAGCTTGGTGAAGAAGGGTCATCCTGAGAGGTAAAAGGATGGAGTAAGGAATTATGAATTTTCACAGGAAGCAGTCTCTGAGCATAAAGATGACTCAAAGATATTGCTATGATATAGACAAAAAGTTTCCCAAGGCTTGACATATTTCAGTCATGAAGTTTTTACTTATTTATAATTTTCTTAATTCTACAAAAGATTCAATATATTTAATATGATTGCTTAGAAGGAGTGAAAAGAAAAGAAAGAAGAGAGGGAGGAAGGGAGGATGGACAGAAGCAGGAGGAGAAGGGCTGCCATCCTCAGGGCCACCCAGCCTTCCCACACACCGGGCTCTCCCCTGCTCACCACACTCTCAAATCTCAGACTGTCTTCTAATCTGTCCTCTGTACACCTAAGCCTAGGGGACAATTTGTGCTCTCAGACAATAAGCTGGTGATAGAAGAATTAAAATGCCTTTAAGAATTTAATGATCCTTAAAAATACTATTCTTCTTGAAGAGCCCCCTTTGGCTAGGTACTCAGCTCAAAGTCCTCAGCTCGTCTGGGAGTGCTCTGCTCCTCTCTGCCGCCATCTTGCTTTCTTCCAGAACATCAAGGGCTCACTGACTGTGTTCAGTATTAGGCCCTAACAAAGCACATAATCTGCAAATTCCATAAATTCTCTTCCTGGTTCCACCCAAATCTGGGGACCCACTTGGCATTACACCTCTTTGAGTGAGAATAAGCCCGTGGGCCTCGGACACCTGAACAGCCTCCTCCTGGCTGCACTCACCGCATCTGTCTCAGAGCCCAAGGCATACCTTTGGACTGTGCACACTCTCTGATCCTCTGCTTCCCAGCACCGCAGAGGTGTGCGGTGGGCTTTCCCTGTATGCCTGAGCCTAGGGGAGGGGCAGGAACGCTCTGAACTCTAATCCCATGGATAGCTGAGCACAGCACAGATTCACAGCTCCTGACCTGGGAGCGGCCAGGTGCTGAGCACTGCAGCGGTGAAAAGAGGCACAGCCGGGCTCCGGGCGGGCTGTCAGCCCCTAAGCTGGCCTGTGATCTTGGAGCTGCTTCAGGTGGAGCTCTGCTCTCTGTGTCCTTGAGGAGAGGAGTTAATCTGCTCCGTGACAACTTAAGGCCTGGCCAGATGGGGTGGCACGGCTGGACCTCCCCTCACAGCACAGCTTGTTTTCCTTGCTTGCAGCAACCTGGAGAACCCTAGCTGGCCCTGCAGTACCACAGAGCTGGAAACACTGCTCACCGTTAGCAAGGGTGTTCAGGGGATTTTCCAAATGCCAAAAAGAAAATTTTGATCTCAAGCAAGCCACATTTTCACAAAAATGAGAGCAATAATGTACTCAACTGATGAACTAGTCAAGACAAAACTAGAGGAACCGGGTGTGGTATTGCACGCCTGTAATCCCAGCACTTGGGAGGTTCAGACAGGAGGATTACTATGAGTTCAAGATCAGCCTGGGGGCTACAAAAGTGAGCACAAGGGCAGCCCAAACTGCATAGCAAGACCCTGTCTCAAGAATATAAAATAAAAGACAAAACTAGACAGATCATCTTTCTCTGCTCCTAATCAAGAGTAACTGCCCAGCACTTCTTCCTCCTCTTCCTAGCTGCATTTGTGGATACCTTAGGATACAGCAAAATTCAACATTTCTTTTTCTGCTCCACAATACAGCAATTTATTATCTGCCTTCATCTTCCTCAAACAAATAGTCGAACGCTATCAGTCAAGATTCAATAATCTACTCCTGAGGGGCCCTTCCAAAAATGCTGTCCAATTATAAGGAGGCATATTTCTTCCTCTGAGGGCAGGGGATGAACCAGATGAATCGGAAAAGCAGAAGGAAAAATTTTCACGGTTGGAATTCTGCAGGAATCTGCTGAGCTTTGACGGATGAGTAAGGGATGCAGGACTGTTCAGGTGGCTCTCCAGTTAAACTGCGTTTCATGGTTAGATATGCTAGGTCCCCCCACCCCAAGCCCTAGGTGGAAAGATTCAAATGTTGTATAATTTCCCATTTCTTACTCATAGATTTTCCTCTTCTTCCCCCGGAAGGCTCATGAATTATTTTTTAGACACTGTTACCAAACTTGGTCAGGCATAATCACATTTGATTTCCCTGAAAACATCCCAGAGACTATAAAAGCTGGATCCGAAACAAGTAGCAATCTGCATCCTCTTCTAGCTCTCACAGGTAGAGC